ATAGTGCGACAAACATAGATTTAAATCTCAATAGATATTTCATCTAACATTAAAATATACTTTTTTTAAAATCTCTACAATTCACAAAAATCTAATTTAGTTTGCACATACAAGTACTCTGAAGTTGACATAAAAAAATACTTGAGTTTCTGATTGACAATATCTTTGTGGTTTTTGGAGACCAGGAATTCCAAAAATCTATTGGAATTCCCATGGGTACCTATTGCGCTACGATAGTTGTATTCCTATGAAGCAGAATTTGTTCAAAATATTTTGTATGAAAAAAAAGAAAACACTTGCCATGACATTTAGATATATCGACGACTTATTATCAATGAACAATGGTAATTTCCATTCCTACGTCGGTAGGATATATCCTGGAGTGCTTGAGATAAAAGATACCACAGAGTCCGACACTTCTGTTTCATACTTGGATATTTTACTTGAAAAGGACACTAATGGTAATCTAACAGCCAAGCTATATGATAAACTTGATGACTTTAAATTTTCTATCGTCAACTTCCCTTACTAATGCAGTAATATACCTTAATCATCTGCATACGGAGTATATATATCTCAGTTGATTCGAGACGCAAGAGCATGCTCTACGTATGAACAATTTCTAAAACGAGGTAAATTATTGACAAGCAAGTTGACGAAACAAGAATATCAGCAGTCTCGTTTAAAGTCATAATTTCTTAAGTTCTATGGTCAATACAATGACCTTGTCAGCAAATACAGTTTATCATTGAGTCAAATGCTGACTGACGTTTTTCATACAAATTGTTTATCCATTATTTATACACTGAATTGACGACGGATTTTTTCCGTTATTTCCTGACCATAACAAGGAGCACACGGCGGGTGTGACCGGTCGGCAGGGGATGCTCACTCCTCCATGGCACCTGATCCCACCTCTGATGTTCGGGGGTCTGTGTTTGCTCTGCTCTAATTTTGTATTGTTTTATGGACTTTGAGATTGAATAATGTTCGTTATCACCATATCCTTCTTTATTAACTTTCATATCGAGTACTGTTCGTTATCTCATAATCCTACTTTAGACTAAAATTAGTTGCCTAATTTAAAACATATACACACTAAATAGATTATTTTTCATACTTTAACAATTATTTTAATTTTTAATGGGTATTCTCTCCATTATTTTGAAAGATAATCCTTAAAGTTAGCAATAGAATATACTTTTTTTGTTTTACAAAAATATTGAGCAAGGACCCACTATACTTTAAAAGTACACTTCTATGACAAAACATCAGCATCTTTCCGAGAAATATTTCAATTCCATTAAGTCAGGGTTATATAAAACATGCTATAAATGTCTGATTCCTCATGAGTTGTGTATTACAGTGGTTAGGGTGTTAGTCTCTAAACATTGTTACTCCGGACTGTTATTGCTAGAACTCGAACCAACAATTGCTACTAGAATCTTACATATTTAAATAAAAAAATATTTTTTCTGAGATTTTTTCTTCGGAAAAGTTTTATTTCTCATAATTTCATAAATTTCAGTAATGCGAACTTAATCCATAATTCACAAAATACATAATGAGGATTTCTCCATATCTGTAGTTATAGGCATTCTGCACGTCTTGTTTCCACATCTTCTTAAACCCTTTCTGGATTCATGTCAAACCTTTTACATCATGTACATGGGTGACCAAATATCGAACTACAAATATCGAAATCGGTACTCAGTTAAACAGATGTTTTCTTTATATTTCAAAGTGTTTTAATAATATCAAAAGCCAGATTGTGTCATAAGACAGTAATACCCGCACTAAGGTGTTCGCGTCTATATGAACTCTCCTTCATATTCCTGTAACCAGGGCAGAAGCACACATTTAAATCAAGCATAAACTACCCAGTTGCAGTCCATACATGTATGGCCCTCTGCTGTAAATATATCATTACCAATACAATAGTATATAATCTAATATTGTTAATTCTGTTAAAGACAGAATTTTGGAAGATTCATTCTTTGAAACTGAGGTAGTTAATAATTATTGGTCAATAATTTGAACTTGTTGAAATTATTGTCAAAACAACAAATTTTATTGCATAGCTTTTCTGATGAACTTTAACACTGTTTAAAATCCAAAAATGACAAGAAATCTACACCAAAACAACTATGTGGCAAAATCTATTGTCATATGGAATTATAGTATAATACAGAAATTATGTAAAAATAAAAACATGGTATGTTATTATAATATAATTTTTACACATAAACACTTTTTTAGAATTTTTTTTTTACCCGCGCATCATGTTGGAATCAAGTCATAGAATGAAAAACAAAATAGAGGATCAATGGATTTTTGAAAATAATTTTCATGCTCCACCCCAATTAGTATAAGTCTTTGAAAGTCCTTTTTGATTTTTGTACTTCTTGCCTGTATTCCTTGCTTGTAATGTTCAAATAAAATATGATTTAAACTGAAAGTTGTAAAGAAATACAACATTTTTGAAAAGTGAGTAAAACTTCCAGGTCACAGATTCAAAAGTCACAATACACTTGGGAAGGCCTTACCACAGGTAGGATACATGCATGTATAAAATGAATGCCCCATCTTTTCTCTTTGAAATGATCAATTTAAAACAATTTTAATTTTTAAGGTAAAGTATATCAAGCTTAATGTCATTTGAAAAAAAATCATAGTGTATTAAGATTGGCATTGTCACAGGTAAATACTAATACACATGTTTAATACGAAAGTCCTGTCCCTTCTCATTCAAAATATATGACCATGATGACCAAGGTTAAATATATTGTGACATACAGACTCAAAATACAAAATTAATGAAATTTAATGTCCCCTACCGTTTGCAAAAAAGGGGGACAACAAATGTCCTTTTCTTGAAAAGAAGATTTATGATGGAAAATTTCCCTGCATATTTCTATGTAATTCGGTTGAAAGTGGCCCAGTGGTAATAGAGAAGTTAAAAATGTGAAAAGTTTGCAGAAAAACGGATGGACGACATACAAAGTCTCATCAAAAAACCAGAAAAGCCCAAGGAACCAACAACCTATTATTCAGAAGTCTTTGGAAAGAGTTACAGTTTCTGAAAAGTTGGGTTTTTTCATGCATTTTTTTAGAAGATGAAAATGTATGAACATGTATAAATGTTGAAAAACTGCACATTTCAGACAACAGTATATGATTGAAAGGAAGGATATGGAGATAGCAAACAGTATTCAATCCCAAAGTCCATAAAACAATACAAATAGGAGCAGAGAAAACACGGACCTCCGAAACACCAGAAGTGGGATCAGGTGCCATGGGGGAGTGAGCATCCCCTGCCGACCGGTCACTCCAGCCGTGTACTTCTTGTCATGATTAGGAAATAACGCAAAAATCTGTACAGAAATTATTCAGTACAGAAATAATGGACTAAAATTGGTGTGAAAAACGTCATTAAGCATTTGAAATAGTGATAAATTTTATTTGCTGAGAAGGTCATTGTATCGACCATAAAACTTACAAAATGATGACCTAAAATAAGACTCCTGATATTCTTGTTTCATCAACTTGCTTGTCAATAATTTACCTCGTTTTACAAATTGTTCATACGTAGAGCATGCTCTTGCTTATCGATTCAACTGAGATATATAAACTCCGTATGCAGGTGATGAAGGTATATTACTGCATAAGCAAGGGAAGTTGACGATAGAAAACTTAAAGTCAACACGTTTATCACATTGCTTGGTTTTTTAAATGATGGGCGTTTAAGCTAGACATTTTGGGATACATCTTTAACATCATATTGTATATAAATAAGTACTCTGTAGAGCAAGAGATTAGTAAATTTGATTATTGAATAAGAATATTAAATACATTTTTCTTAAAAGGAACGTGCAGAATTTTTTGAAAGAAGGACTATAACGGAAAACTCAGTCTCCATTCAGTTTATTTATAATGAATTAATAATTACTATGAAAAAGGTCAATCAAAATTTTGACTCAATGATAAATTGTATTTGCTGACAAGGTCATTGTATCGACCATAGAATTTACAAAGTGGTGATATTTTTATTTCATCAACTTGTTTGTTTATTTTATATTTTACTATTAACAAAGTTAGAAGAAAGCAAGCAACTCTTGAAACAAGTTCAATTATACAGAGCTGCAATGCATTGTTTTCGGAATGAGTAAAACGATGCATGGTAAACCTTGGCTAGATTTTGCTGTATCTTTGTTTGAAAAAATTATCAAATAAAATTTAGCGTATATATACCGGTATGTAAAATTATAAAAATTTGATATACATGTAAACTGAAATGTTTGGTTTGCGTAAATCGTTGTTTTGTATGTAATCAAACTTGTCACGTGCATATTTCACTACAAAGACCAGCGCTTCTTGGAAAATATACCCAAGCGCAATCCTTTTTTACTTTCAAACCAATAAGTAATATAAAAAAATACAGAAAGCATATACATGTATTCTGTATACATTACCGGTATGTGTTTGCTCTGCTCCTCATTTGTGTTATCTTATGATCCAGGATCTTTTAAACTTTACTATTCGTTATTTTCATATTCAAATTCTTTAATAATGCTTTACAACAGCAGAAATACATTCAGTGTTTGATATCCGCCATATATCATTATTATTTTATTTTCATCTCTTTAGCCTCGTAGTGACATCATATTGGTGAGATTCCATGTGTATATCTCTACACGTGAGATCTTCGTATATAAAACAAAAAAACAAAACAAATTATGATTCATTCATAAATGGCATAGTACGAAAAAACAGAAAATGCAAAGTCTGGCAAACATTATCATTTCTTTATTTTGTATAATATATCTAGTATATTTTTTAAATTTGTATTTTTAAATAATAAACAAAATAATTCTGCATACACGTCTTTACATTTATGATATACCAAAACGCTCATTCACAGCATCCACACTATTTCTGAATTATCAGTGAGAAAAACTTTGTCATTCTTAGGAGAATTATAGTTCTTTAAATTACATGATTCATTTATCTAGACTCTGTATCCTCAACTTCGTGGCATTTTTTAGGTTGTGGAAGGGAAACTCTTTAACTGCTTCGACATATGACTCCAGGGCACCCCAAAGATCCCCTTGGAGCTGTTGACAAATTCCTAAGATCTGCCAACATATGTCTCTAGTACAGGGACGAATAAAATCTCCCTCTGCAACTATATTCTTTAAATCATATATGGCCACTGCCGCGATTTGTTCATTAAATTGTCTGTAACATAAGAATTCTAGCATGAGTAACATTACAAATGGAGATATATGTATAGTTCCCTCGATTTGACCCATTAAACGCTGCTCTTGCATTAATTCATCAATATAATGGATGTTTGAAGAGAGCCGGATGTCCCCTACAACAGCTCTCCGCATCTTTGTTGAAAAAGACTGTCCCCCAACTTCTGCAGTATATATATCGTCCGCGTCACTCATATACATCAGATATGGTTCCTGAAATTCGATATTTGCTATCTCTAGGATCTTTCTTGCTTTTATGTGTCTAAAAGTCTTGTAATAATACATCACAATGTACAATTTATCAGAAACAAACCCCAATTTTGCAGCAAGTTTCAACATATAACATGATATCTTGTCAGCTTTATACATTTTCTTGTTCTTAATTATATTGGCGCACCGACTGTGTAACAAAAAAGCTGTGCTTTGGAGAATAGTAACTGTGAGTTTCTGTGCCATGAGAATTTGATAGGTTGTATAATTTTTAAGACGTAAACTTATCATATATTCCATCGATCGCAGGAGGTGCAAACAGCGATTGAGGTTTTGTGTAAATATTGCATCGTTATTACAAATCTCTCTAAATAGGTCTGAATCAAACACAACCTCCCAGTCTTCACTGTGCTGATCAAAAGAAATACATTGTCTAGGATTACAAAAAAAATCTACAGTAAAGGATCTGATAGAGTAACTCTGCTGCAGTAAAGCTATACCTTTCTCATACAGTCCATGCACTTCTAAGAATAGCTCTCTTTGAGATTTACCAACCATTTTAGTTAAAAACATGTTGTTTTCCGGGATGAAGAAGTTAGGACACACACCTTCATACACCCGCTGAAGAAGAAGTTTGAAGCAGACCCTGAAGCACTCCAGAAGATTTTCAGGATACCAATAAGGTATTACATTTTGCTGAATCACCCAAAATACTGCTGTTTTCATGTGATAAGAGGAAAGTAAGCCCTCTGTTACATTTTTCGTTATAATTTCTTTAAGAATTAGTTTGAGTAAACCGTACGTGAGAAATTGACAATGGTTCATGGAGTACACAAGTTGTTGTTCTGCATAAGCAAATGAAATTCTCCATTCATTTTCCTCATGATTTCCTAGTTTGTGCCCTATTGCAACAAAGTGACATCCTTTTCTGATAATATCATCAATAACACCGGGGCTCGGCCAGGAGTAACTTCTGTCAATCCATGCCAATGCAGATGGAGGCCAGAAATCACATGGAATACAGTAAGCATCATCAAATTCTATTCCTTTGAAATTTCCACTCCTACATGGTCCATGAACGTGAGAGTCCGGCCTGGATGGAAAAAGCATATTTTGTCGAAATTTAGAACTAGATAAATAGTATTTTCTATATATATTGAAGCATGATTTCCATATTTTTGTTGTTAGTTTGGCTGGTAAAAGTAATTGAAGCAGCGTGTATCCAGGCGGGCTTTCGGAACAGTCAGACAGAAACAGTGTATGCCTGTGGTAACCCCAACTCTGAGATAAATTCCAAATCACCCGATAGTTATCAAGCGAAATCATAGCGTCTCTATCAGACTCATCCAGTCGAAATCCTTCTTTATGACTTCCACTCAATATAACATGAAAATCTTTGCTTGCTTCACAGGACGAAATCATCATTTCCCTGAAATCACTTATATCTCTCCTCATAGTCACTTGTTCCGAAGTACCTAATTTACGACATAGTACCATAAACACCAACTCTGACATACGTTGCATACCCTCCATATTTTGATGAGAAATTTTAACAAAGGATAATTTTAACAGTTAATGACACAACGCCTCTTTTTTCAGTATACTGGAATGCAGTGTATATATCAATTTATTTAAACTTTTGTGATGCTTGACGTGTTAAGAGAAGCCATCCGCGAAATCAATTGTTTGTTTGCAGACGATTTCTTTTACAAGCAGAATTAAATCCCCAAATCTATTATTATGCTTTTGGAAAAACCAATTACGCCACGGTATTTAATGACATATTTAATTGACATATCCGACTCAAACTTTTTTTTTCAAAATTAGATTTATAATAATAATACCTAGACGTTGTGAATAACGACATCTCTGTAATCATTGCCAGAGAGAAACTAAAGAGTAAAAGACTCCTAGCACAAAAATGCTACGATATAATTGTCCCATACATCTAGAATGGCAAGATCATATTGATCAAAATAGGAAATAATAAGCATTTTCGGTTGGATAAACATTTACAAAACAGCAGTTACAGTGAAGTGTGCACTTAAAACGGTATTAATTCCTGTTGAAGATCTTTAAAACCGCGTTGAATCAGCGTTTACAGGAAAATTACATAACTTAAAGAAATCTTCTGAAAATACCTGTTGTGTATTCATGTAAATCTTTTACAACTTCTGCAAAAATTTTAATGGTTATGGAATAATATATGTCTTGAATGCCGTAAAAAAATTGTTACGGACTTGTTCAAGAAAATAATTTTGATTTACAATAAATTTTGATTGATAAAAAGATCATTTGTTTCACCTGTTAATTATTTACAATGAAATTAAAGAAAAGGAGTTAACAAGCAGTATTTAAGATCAAAATAAAACAATAGTTAACAGAGCAAACACAGACCTCCAAGGTGGGATACGGTGCCATGACGTAGTCACATCAAAATGCACACATCAGCAAACACGACTTAAACAAGGTGCAATCCACTTATTAACATGGACTTCTTTAGTGTTTCAAGTGTTTCTGGAACTGAATTTGATCTACTTATTGATAATTCTTTACCATTAAATTCAGCAGTTGTTTTGTGTTCTTTTATTTCTTTACATTCAATATTTACGCCATAATATAGTCCAAGTCCGCTGCTGAAAACAAATTTAAATGAAATAGTATATTTTAAATTTCCTTTCAATGGAACGAAATAATTCGGATATAGCTCTAGGAAATTTTCTTCTATTTGACAAAAAGGTATGGAAAATTTCACTGTGCTGCTGTTTCTGCTAGCACTGGATTCCGAAATGCAGCCAACTACCTTGACATCCTGAACGTTTAACTGTTTCGACTTCTCAAAATTTAAGTGTATTCCAACCAAAACAGAGTAAGAAGATACGCGTAAATTTAACAAAAAATCAGTATTACCATTTTTACATTTAATAATGCGAGTTTTTGATGATAAAAGACTTGTCTTCACTTTAGAAGGCCGCCATATTCTTTCATGATGCTTAAATCTACCCGCTTTTTCAGTTCTCGAATTTAACTGCCTTCGCAAAATTTCTATTTTATCTTTGTCGGTCAAAAGATTTGATTCACAAACTATTTTGTCCAAAAACTGATGATTCATAACTGGAAAGCGAACCTCGAAAAGAATATCCCTTAAAACTGTTCTCTGATTTTCTGCGGTGATTGGTAATTCTTGTCGAGCGCATTCTTTTTCTGACCATTTACAGACCTGTTGAAAAACAACATCTTCTGGAGCAAAAACTCTATCATGCTGAGTTATTTTATAGACACAAGTTGAACACAAATTCATAAAAGAATCGGTGTATAAAAAGCTCGGGGTGTTGAGTTCTATTGTTTTTAAACATATGTCTATGATTTCTCTGTCGTCTAATTGATGTGCGAATTCCATCATCTTGCAAACCAAGTCCGGCTTGATGAGTGATTGTAAAGACCTTTTACACAAAGCTGACAACGTTTCTATATCATATTTCTTAGCACAGTACATCAGGTCTCCAAAGTTATCTATGGTAACACAGACATCATCAGTGTATAAAAATCTGAAAAAAAAATCACTAAAGATTAGAAAATAAACGGTAAATTACAAATTTTGTTTTACTTGCCTTTTCCCTTATTTGAAAATAATTGTCTGACCATTGTCTGATTTCATATTTATTTTTGGGGGAGTAAAAGCAAAAAAAAAAAATAAAAATAAAAACGTAAAAGGAGATGATAAAAACCCAATGATGTCTAAAAAAACCTTTCTGTTTACTATTCTACTATTCTAAAAATACAGTCATTTTTTTAATAATAATTTCTGACTCTAAGTTAAATGAAATGATTAAAATATATTTTGAATTAAGAATCACAAATAAGAAAGAGCAATAGCATACTGCAGAAACTTCAAAAATATGTCTTCTTGAATGTCTTCCACTTTTACAGCCTGCTGTAAACTACTTTCTTGTCCTTCAAACATGGAGAAAAACACACTACTCCGACACATCAAGATGAACTTGTGGGCTTTTACTTCAGCGCCATTTTTACCTACTAGGAATGTTACGTCACCAGAGTCACGATGACTTTCATACATTATTCTCACACAAGTTGTCAAAGAGCCTCTAGTTTGCCATCTTACAGCTGTCTTGTCCATGTTGAATGCTACTTTGAGGGAAGAAATATTTTGAATTGATATTATATTGTATTGAAAATTAGAAAATCTTTAGAGTAGAGCGTTCAAAAAACAATTAATCACGTACAAAAATATCTTACTAGTTTAGCGGTTGGTAGTTAAGAGTCCACGGTGAAAAATAACCTATGCTTAGTTCTCTCAATAATTTGTGACTGCACTTTAGTCGGAGTATTATGAGAAATATAAACAAGCAAACATTTACAAAACGTCGTTTAGACAATTTATGTTGATAATGATTTTGCACACACAAAAGACACTGTAATTTTTGAGTAGATAGCCTACTTACAAATGAGGTATTAATGTATACAACATTGTTTAAACCTTCAATACAACCAGTGGGGCATATTTTGAATGCATGCATATCAAAATTCGGTCAATAAAATTGTGGATTTTAAATTCGATAAACATTTAGTGCTTATTGTGCATTAATCGTGTATATATAAACATCTCCAAATACCATAACCATGTTAAAGAGCAGACAATTCAATTTAAGACTTAATTTAAGGTAAACAGATCAACTAAGGAAGTGAGTTCACTTAGTTATCGCCATATTTTTAAAATTCAAAATCTGATGACAAGAAATATATATGTCTAGTGTTCAATGTCTTTGGTCTGAAAAACTTGTTTTTCTATCGAAACCCCTTTATTATATTTATCCCCTCTAAGTTGGAATAAAAAATCATAAAAAATACAAAAGAGATATTTCTCAAGTGTTCAGAATTGAAATGAATATTCGAAAGCGTTGCTGATCCTTGCTTTCAAACAAAGACTCTTAATAATATTTCTAGAATCAAGAAAGGGGTATCATTTTGATATCGAAAAGTATTTAAACCTGGTGTTTAACTTTGGCAGAAAAGGTACTAAGATCAAATTCTATTTTCATAATGTGGTTGCTTGATTGTATGTTTTTTAATGACCCGAGAATATTTCACTCATATAGAGACGTCACCATATACCGATGAAGGGCTTAAGATTTTTATCTTTCCTCGGCACTTATTGAGCAGTGAGGGATCTCGATTTTTAAGGTACATGTATCATCCAAAGGACCCGAAACTTTAACTTCAAGGTGCTGAGCGAATGACGAAACAAGGGTTGCTATCTATTTTTGATCAATTTAATTCAGTCGCAGCCAAGATTCGAACACAGGATTTTCCGAACACTACGAGCGATCTTCCGAGCTAGCTGTTTTCACAATATTATAGCATGCACAAAATTCCAATGACTTATAAAATACAGTATGGCACATGTAAAAGAAATCGACAGTACACAGGGTGCAGTGGTACCTGTAAAAGTATCTGCTATGGAGTCGTGAAGTAAGGTGTTGATCCTTAATCACCTTGCAGGTACGAATCACTATGGTGGACGTACATACCGGTCCTTCGGATGAAACCGTATAAACCGAGTTCTCATGTGCGGTAGGTTTTTGTTCGAAAATGATCTCTCACAGGGTCTCACTGCTAAAAAGGCTTGAATGCCGAATATAGGTTAAAAATTGCATCCATCCACTGTTAAGTGACATCGTCTCCATCTGAAGACATTAAACAACAAGCTACAAAGTTAACGAAAAAAAATCCATTTGTAGTTTTAAATAACACACTAAATTTCATAACTATTAAATAAACAGTAAATTTATAAACATTGTTTGTCTCTGCTGCTGTTCGTAGATAATATAGAGACACTGCCATGCAATTAATTCAAGTAATTTACTTCAGAATTCTTAATTCGACTGTTTGATTTAATCCTGTGGCCAGCTTTCATTACTTAATGAGTTTGATTCTATATCTCCGTACCAAGCCAAACTTTAACTACATGAATTTTGGCTTTCTGAAGCTAAATTCAGAAGTCATTTTGATGAGACAAAAAAATGTCACAGTAGCATTAATGCAATATACAACCCCACTGCTCCGACCCTATTCAGAAATGGCAACATTTGGACTAAAGCAGTTGAAGTCTTCAAATTATTATCGTAATTCTCATATTTCATTACAACTAAATATAATCTTCAAAACAATAACTCAAGAACAAGCGATTTAAAAAGTTGACAAAACGAATTTAATCAACATTATTATTGACTTAATGCACAACATAATACATATTCTTGGTGTTAACATTCCTTTTTTGTTTACGTAAATTGTATCTTATAAATGCATAGAGTTATCTTTCTTTCGATTGTATACAAGAAAGTATTATCACTCACTTTACGGATTCTAATGCGTAGATATGATCATCAAATACTGGCTTTTATTTTGGCACCTGCCTCCACCTCTAATGTTCAAATGAAACATATGGAAATAACGAACAGCATTCAAGATCAAAAGTCCTTAAAACAATACAAAATAGGAGCAGAACAAACATGGACCTCCAAGACATCTGAGGTGGGATCAGGTGAGATTAAATTGACTTTTGAGCATGATTTCTGTTTGGTATCTTTAAGTTTTTCATTATGTGAATAAATTTGAATTTTTATTTCACTGGGAGGTGAGAAGAGTTAACTCATGATAATTTTATTACCATTAAATAAAGATTTCTTGTTGGACGTATGAGCTTAACTCTTTTTAGTGTTTTTCCTCTTAGTAATTGTTTTAAACTTATATTTGCTACTCAATTAAGCTAATGAAAATAAAACTTATATGAATTATTCTACTAAAATGATAAAACAGATGACACATAATCTACGAGGCTACAAATCCAATGATAAGGATTCACTATAAAGCTTGCTGCTAAATTAATATTATTTATATGTGCTCCATTTGTTTTGTGAATCAACTTTGTTAATTTATGTACGAAGAAAGGACCACACGGTATATATGAGCAATGTTAAAGTTTGAATAAACAAGAAGAGATATTCTTAAAAGTGCTGGGATATGTTTCAAAAGGTTAAATTTGATTCATAAATATAAAATCATCAAATGATGAATGGTTTGGCCATAAAATGACAATGTGACATCTCCAAGAAGAATGACTTTGCCTTTTCCTAATTATGTTCAAATAGATTGAAGCTTTGGTGAAAAGTGGAAAAAGTGTAAAGTTTTCTCTAAATCGAAGATGGATTTGTATTTGAAAATTGATCTCATGTTTCTAAAGCTCTCTGAACAGCAATGTGCTAGATGACGAATACTGTTAATATATCATAAAGAAATAGAATATATGATTAAAAAAAACGGATTTTGCGTTATTTCCCGATCACGACAAGGAAGACAAACAGACGTGACCGGTCAGCAGGGGATGCTCACTCCTCTATGGCACCTGATCCCACTTCTAATGTTTTTGAGGTCCGTGTTTACTCTGCTCCTGTTTTGTATTGTTATATGGACTTTTGAGGTCGAATGCTATTCGTTATTTCCATAAAGTTCATGATTTATACGTTACGTAGATCATTCATATCGATTGATAAACACAATTCTAATATCTGACGTTTGTAAATCTAATCATTGAATACGTCAACTACTCAATACTTAATGAATGCTCTTGATTTTAATTTGTCATCTTTTGTACATTGTTCAAGATTTTTGTACAATATTCAAAACAAAATAATGGTTATGTTCAATTTTGCAATTATACGATTAGGATACTAGTATTCAAATACGTACTTTGATCTTTTTTGTGTCATCTTATACGAGGGTTGTTCGAAAAGTTCGTGGACTACTGTCATATCTTTTTTATTTGACGTCATATGTTATCCAAATTTGGTAGAAACATTTTAACAATAAATCCAAAGAATTTGTATTAATTTTTTTAAATACCACGATTTTTTTCAAAACTTATCCAGATTTTAAAAATGCAAAATTCGTATCGCGTAGCAGGTCAAAATTTAGTACGTTACGAACAAACACTATATAATGTCTGAAGTCATATTCTCTGTAAAATGATGCAAAAAGGAAAAACAACCGAGAAATCCAAATTTAGAATTGAACAATCGATTTCTATTCCAAATCATGGCTTAATATTTTGCTTTGTTGAAAAGAAATCAACTTGAGAAGATAGGCAGTCCTCGTTAAAAACGACAAAAACAATGACGTTTTAGAACGTCACGGAGCAGCCGATAACGATACAATTTTGTCTTTTACTCAGGAAAAATCTTGAATAAACTAAAAAAATACTGAAGGAATCAATAAAATATGTCACAAGCGAGTTGTACATGTGTGTACAAATCGTATAGGCAGTATTTGAGTGACAGAGACTTTGTATGAGGTGAGGACAATCTGCGAAGAAAAACGTTTATCTGTAAAAATCTTAACAAAAACTTTAAAAAGTTCGAACGTCAAGTAAAGACATGGGTGCTTTAGAGTTGCCTACCCTGTGAAAGCAAAGTTAAGTAATAAAAGAAATTAAAACCCTAACAGAGGAAATAATACACCGAAAGCAATTCTTAAAAAATGAATTTCAAGTATTAGAAAAGGGATCAATGATTGGGCATTCGATTACACTTTGTGAAATGTATAGGAATAGTATATAAATTTTAGAAATTCTCGACACTATATTGTGACGTTACATTGTCGTTAAGGGTGCTCCGCGGGTACAAAACATGCTGATTTTAAAATGACGTAGATTGATTTCTGTTAAATGGAATGGAATGAAACATCACACATCAGCAAAACAAATGTTTTTACATATTATATTATCCTTATTTTGAATTTCTAATGAGTTATATAACGAAGATTGACATCGTCCACGAACTTTTCGAACAACCCTCGTAGTATATTTTACGAAATTTTAAGATAAAAGATCCAGAGTCCCGTTTCATGGAAAGCAATATTTTTCTTCCACATGAAAACCATATAAAAATAAATTAAGATCTATTATAAGCAAAACTGTTTTTGTATTCATATGAATCAGAATATTTTCACAATCTTTTATTTGACAAGAAAACACTCCCTGCTGTGTCAATTCGTTTTGATCAT